ATTATTTTGGCTAATTGAGTTAGAAACTCGGCATTTGTAATTGTGGTCAGCCAACGGCCTTAAAGGATTGTAATTTCTACCGTATTTGGTTCATGGAAGAAGGCTTTGAATCCCGGTAAGCAGACGTCAAAGAACAAGTTACCTTCATCCTTTCTTTGTTTTTGTGTTTTGGCCTCACCAGGACCAAAATACACTCAACAAGTTTCAATAGTTTTTATTTAGTATGAAAATTTACTTACAAATGAAGTCCACAGCAGAAATAAAAACACGCAGACTAAATTAAGATAACAAGGGTATCTCGATTCAATCAATGTCATTAAAATCCAAATTTTGATAATAAGAAAACACAAAATTGTCACAAATAACACATTAAAAATGGAAATATACGGAGCACTATTTTCAAACACATGCCGCGGCGGCCATTTTTTAGATAATGACAAAAAATGTTTTTAAACAATGGGGGGATGTAACAACGCAATGAAATGTCATGTTTTTGATTATAAAAAAAAATTGTATGCATAGAGATCACTGTTCGATTATATATAATTATATACTATTTTAAATTTTAAATAAGCTTGATTCTTCACGAGCTTCACCTTTTTAAAGATAAAATATAAGTTTCTTATATATACCTTGTATTTTTCCTAAAACATTTTAATTATTTTTTTATGACGAACTAGATGGTGATTATTATGCACATTTGTTAATGTTGTCTCCCTTGTATAGTTTAAGTTAAGGAAATGGCAACGGATATGCAAGTTTAGATTTGTATTAAAAAGTGATATTGAAAAAAAAAACAAGCCCCAAAATGACTCAACAATAGACTGCCAACAAGCAGAGCAGATAAATAACAAACAGCAAATAATTTTCTTTCCAGCCAAACAAGAGAATTAGGAATATACGTTACTGCATTTTAATTTTTTTTTTAAATTCTGTTTTAAACACAGTTTGAATAAATCATGGGTGATTAAAAAACCGTTTAAACGGATTAAAATGGATCAGCTAACTGTGATTGTGATATTTGTTTCACCAGATGATGAGCTACCCGTTACACGTTTTTTTTTTAACTTCCCTAGACATGGGTAGCTACACAGGGGAATGTATGGCTGAGGTTGTGTACAACTACCTTTATAATGTGGAGAAAATATTTTTAGTAAGTGTTGGATGATATTGCTGCCTGTGCCACTATTCTCTACATGATGGCTAATGCTTTTAATACAATTTACTTTATTATCAGAATCTGACAGTCATAAACTCAAAGATCAAAACTTGTCGATTAAAAACGCGAATTGACTAACAACTGTGGTTTAAACTATACCGCTATATAGCGGTCAGTTGTAGAGTTGGTCAGTTGAGGGTGTAGCGGTCAGTTGTAGAGTTGGTCAGTATAGGGTGTAGCATTCAGACTTTTTAGTAGAGCATGTAGGACAGTTGAAATGTGGGTAGTGTTAGAGTTGGTCAGTAGAACATGTAGGACAGTTGAAATGTAGATAGTGTTAGACCATGCAGGTTTGTTACTTTGAATGGAGTAATTAGGTCATTTGATTTGTTTTAGTTATAAAACTATCACTTTATCACATGATAGAGACATTGAAGAGTCGGTTATTTATTCGAAGATTTATCGACACTTCAAATTTAATATACATTTTTTTTTGGTTAAAATACGGAGAGACATTATATTTATTTAGAAGTACTTCGACTTTTTTTTAAGTTTGTTTTTAAATATGCTTCGTATAAATAAAAAAAAAACTGTAGCGATTTTTTAAAATTTTAGCCTATTTTTTTAATTGCCAAATTTTATTAAGTAAGAATTATTTGTCCATATCACCCAAATCTAGCCACATCAAAGTCTAGAAAAACTGGAAACTTTACTACGGATGATTATTGGAAAGGTCATGATTTAGAAATAAGACAAAGTGATGCTGAGGATGAACAAAAAGAATCCTCTCACACTAATACAAAAATGTTGTAGATCTGTCAGGCTGCGACAAATAGTGAGGGAGATTTTTTCAGGAAAATGGGAAAGTTGCATTGATCTCACAATCTAAGGTACCATACATAAGTAAGGATATAACGGTCACTGGGAAAACCATTTTGCGAGAAAAATAAAGCAACATTCAAATGCAGGGGTTCTCAACCTTTTTTTTTTACTCTAGAGCACATTCTAAAATATCGGTAGGGTGGCGGGCACCACCTATTTTAAATCGACAAACTCCTTCCAGAGGCGTAGCGACCCTTCTCGGGACAAAACTTTCGATTTGCACCCCCCCCCCCTCAAACTTTCGATTTATTTGCACCCCCCCCCCCCCTCAAACTTTCGATTTGCACCCCCCCCCCCCCCAAGGGGTGCTATATTTCACAATGAAGAAACTCTCAGGCCTCACATAAGAAAATCAATCCCCATACACATATACAAACAGTATAAATAAATATTCTCGCACCACAACAACATATGGTAGAGCTAAGGAATTTTCAGCCTGTACAGAATTGTTTGAGTTTAGCTCATTAACACATAATGGAAGAAAAACGTGGCGCTGTCGACTTAATGTGAAAAGATAAGAACCTTCCTTAATCGCTTTAAACGTATGGGATTAATCCCGTGCTGGATTTTTGTGTACGATATGTGTTTCTTTCTTATATTTCCCGTGTTACTCATGTATGTTCATTCTTATAGTCCAGTGCAGTTATTAGATCTATTTTTAGTAACACATAACAAGCACTAATGTGAGTATGTATTTGGATATATAGATTTTACTATAGTTTGTTTGTGCTATGTAACTGTGATAAATAATATAGATTTACAATTAGTAAATCTACTTTTCTCAAAAGTAAGTATGTCAATAAATAGAGCAAAACAAGATTCATTTTGACCGGCGAATGCACGTTTATTTCATTTACCGACATAAACACTTTATGTGCTTACACTGACCGTGAGATCGTTTTGACAGATTGGGCGAGCCACGTGACATAATTATCCAGTGTAGCCAACTTATTTTCTGTGCGTTTAAATAGCTTATCGTTATAAAGTTTTTTTTTTTTTTATTGTTTGTTTTATTTTCTACTTTTTAGTGATTCGTAATTTCTGAAGTCGACACGACAAAAACTATTTGCTTTAAAATACCATCAGTAGGTCGCGATATCCGAAAGACGATTTTCTGCCCTGTGGAAGCAAACGTCAAGGATCACAATGTACAGACAAAACCATGCTGAGAAAACGAAGGATAGTTCTTTATCCTACTACCTCCCCTTAGATTCAAAAAGTTAAAAACGTTTTTGTCTCCCCTTCCCCTAATGTCCTTCACTCAGGGGTCGGCAACTAACATTTTTATGTCAATAGTATATATGTTTAGAATTATATATATACATATATATATATATATATATATATATATATATATATATATATATATATATATATATATATATATATATATACATACATATATATAATCCTAAACAAATATCATACAATATATAATTTAAAATTCATAACTTTGAATAAATGAAAATATCTCATTAGAATTTGTATTTAGAGGATCTACTATTTATGTCAGAGTACTTGCATTTGTTTTGAATTGCTCAAATCTCTCAGTGAAAACATCCTTCATTTTACCGCTCACCATGTATTCAACAAAAAAGTATTTTTTTTTTTCGAAACAATACACTTCTTCAAGCAAGACATAGGCTGGGTTTTTCTTTCAGTTTTACACTTAGCTGGTTTAGTTTCTTTGCGATATCCACTACGAAGTTGAATGTTTCAATATGGAATGGACAATGTAATAGGAAGTACATTGAAATAGGGAGTAACTACATTTTCTAATAGAATAGTGAATGTTTATTGTTTATATCTATTGTTATATCGTTTATTACCGAGTGTTGTAGACTATTTTTATGAGTTTTGAAAATAAAATAAAATAATTATTATTTGTGCATGAAGCTGAAGAGCCGCAACTGGACACCAAAAGAGCCGCATGCGGCTCGCGAGCCGCAGGTTGCCGACCTCTGCCTTAACTAGATCTACTAGCTCTATGATTGTAAACATTTCGTGAACCACAGCTCATCAGAATGTTAGAGTGATAGCATTTTGCATATTATCTCCTTTCTGTTATTAAAAATAGCAATCTAACAAATGATTTATTTTGTTATCACCCCTTAGTTTCGAAATCGTTTAGTTAATTTTAAAGACAAATTAAACATCTAATTAAATTTAAAAATAGATAAACAAGTATTGTAATTCAAGTGGAGCTTAAACGAAATTGTGCATTAGAAGTGGGTTAAATTTAGGTAAAACATTTGAAACAAATCAGCAAACAAACAGACATTACAAACTAAAAGAAAAACTTGCAAAACAAAAAAAAAATAAAATGCTATACCAATAAGCTTTTAAATTTGATGAAATGATAAGAAAATAAAACGAATCTAAAATTGACCCCTGGCGTGTGCGAGCGCTGGCTTTGATCTATCCGCAAGTCCGGATGGAGGGATGGGGGTGGGTGGAAGGGGGGGGGGGGGGGTGGGGGTTGAGTCGTGTATCTCTTCTGAAACAGATTGTATTAAGTTGAGGCGTGTATCTCTTCTGAAATATATTGTATTAAGTTCACACAATTCTCGTATTAGTTGGAATCACTTTATTGTTTTATTTTTTATTTCGGAATTCCGTACATTGTAGCTTTTGGCTCTTCCGTCGCAAAAGGTTACCGACTCCTGCCCTGAGGGGAGGGGGGGGGGGGGGGGGGGTTATTGGCTGAGAATTTGTTTTTTTTTTGTTTTTTTTTTTCATGATTTCAAGATTTTATTTACAAGATTACCTAAATCTAAAGTCACATCTACAATACAAAGTTACACATTGCATTAAAATGAAATTACAAACATTTACATAACCAAAGTACATTTTCTTAACTAATGAGTTGAGAATATTGTACAATCTTACATATTGCACTCATTTTTTATTGGGAATCATTTATGTCATATAATCACTTGGAAGAATCATAAAAATAGTCTTAATCCTGTTGCAACATAGCTGTTACCACATTTTCAAATACTTTTGATGTTATATTTTCTCCAGGCTTGTAAAATGGATTGCACAGCATATCAACATAAGCATTATGTAGCTTTTTGAACATTGTTCTAATCTCATTGTCTCTGAGAGATGCATTCAAAGAATCTACAACAATCACAAATTTCACTTTTGTATTTGTTACATAGCCATAAACTTTGTAATCTTCAGTAGGGTATAGAAGGCCCAAGTATAGCTCTCTTAAATCATTTACATTTTTGCCAACTGAACTAATTTTTTCTTCAACTACATCCAGTGAGGTGTGTACAGTGTAATAAAACTTCAATTCATTTTCAGTTGCGACTGTTTTTATGAAAAGTGGATAATTCTCTTTGGCTATAAAGAGAATTAAACTTATTTGAATGTATTATTGTTAAAATAATTGTTCTGGGAAACAAAAACGACATTTTAATCTTGATTCAGGGGAATAAATTGCTTGTCTTAGAAAAATGTATCCATTAAAGTTACTGTTTTCAAATTTTATAACCTGAGAGATTTTTTATGTATATTAGCTTGACTACACATTTTTATTATTTTTCTAAAACTTTTAAATGGTTTTGTTTGATAAGTCATACTGAGACCATTTTTTAAAAATTATATCTTTCTAAAATGTACTAAAATCGACAGTTCAGTCATTAGCTTTGCGTTGTCTCCCTCGTAATTTTTCACATATAAAAAATGGCAAAGGTTTTTGGCAGATATGTATTTAAATTTAAAAAAAAAAAACAAAAAAAACCCACAAAATTAGTTCCAGACAGTCGGACAATCGAACATTCTTTATTGTTTTATTTTTAAAAAATTTTTTTTGGGAATTTATCATAAGCCGATTGAGAAGAAAATTATCTCAGGTTAGGGGGTGTCCATAAATGACGTCACACTCTTAGGAGGAAAGAAGGGTTCCGTAATTTTGTGACGTTGTGAGATAAGGGGGAGGGGGGTGTTTTGCATTGTAAAAAGCAATGCTAGAAAACGAATTTTAACTGTTATTTCGCGTTTGAAAAATGTTTTAATACATTGTAATAAAAATTAATTAAGGGGGAAGGCTCCGGTAAAAAAAAAAAAAAAATTTTAATACTCGTTAGATAACAGTTATTTCTTTACAGCTTTATTAAGATACATCCGCATAGGCATTTCCACTAAAAAAAAATGGTGGAAAAATCTTGGTAACTATGACAATGGCGGCCATCTTGAAAAATTAACCCCTTCGTAGGTTTTCCACCATTCATAAAATATTACACTTTAACCCACTTCTAATGCACAATTTCGTTTAAACGTTCTAGATACGCTTCACTTCAATTACAATACAAGTTTATCTATTTTTAAATTTAATTAGATGTTTAATTTGTCTTTAAAATTAACTAAGCGTTTTCGAAACTAAGGGGAGATAACAAAATAAATCATTCGTTAGATTACTATTTTTAATAACAGAAAGGAGATACTATGCAAAATGCTATCACTCTAACAGTCTGATGAGCTGTGGTTCACGAAATGTTTACAATCATAGAGCTAGTAGATCTAGTTAAGGACATTAGGGGGAAGGGGAGACAAAAACGTGTTTAACTATTTGAATTTAAGGGGAATTAGTAGGATAAAGAACTATCCTTCGTTTTCTCAGCATGGTTTTGTCTGTACATTGTGGTCCCTGACGTCTGCTTTCACAGGGCAGAAAATCATCTTTCGGATATCGCGACCTACTGGTGGTATTTTAAAGCTAATATTTTTTGTCGTGTCTACTTCATAAATTACGAATCACTAAAAAGTAGAAAATAAAACAAATAATAAAAAAATAAAAATGTATAGCGACAGGCTATTTGATGTTCTGAAAATGAATTGGCTACATACAATAAATGGGCATTCTTTAGCAAAAGCTTCGTTCGCTCATAAGATCTTATACGTGTTTTATATGTATACATTTATTTATTTTAAATTTATATTTAATAGTCGTGTCTAAATCCTCCAAAAAAAATAGTATTAGGGAAATAACAAACCAGGCTAAGGCAGTGACGTTTAAATACATCTCAGCGTCTGATTGGATAATTATGTCACGTGGTTCGCCCAATCTGTCAAAACGATCTCATGGTCAGTGTAAGCAAAGAAAGTGCTTATGTCGGTAAATGAAATAAACGTGCATTCGCCGGTCAAAATAAATCATGTTTTGCTGCTATTTATTGACATACTTACTTTTGAGAAAAGCTGAATGCTGACTTACTAATTGTAAATCTATATTATTTATCACAGTTAAATAGCACGTACAAACTAAAGTAAGGTCTATATATTCAACATATATACGCATATCAGTGCTTGTGATGTGTTACAAAAAATAAATCAAATAACTGGACTGGGCCATAAGAATAAACAGCTATGAGTAACACATGAAACACAGAAGACAGAAACACATCTGGTACAAAACAAATCCAGCACGGGATTAATCCCATTAGTTTAAAGCGATTAAGGAAGGTTCTTATCTTGTCACTTAAGTCGACGGCGCCACGTTTTTCTTCCACTTGGTGCTAATCCGCTAAATTCTCACAATTCTGTACAGGCTGAAATTTTCCACAGCTCTACCAAGAAGAAGAAGAAGAAGAAGAAGACCCTTGCCAGACATATGCTGGGCCCGTTAGAGACATGTAGAACATACCTACTGGACACATGTTGCAATAATGTGTAGCACTCCAATGTATACATTTTAAAGTCCCGGCGTAAATAGGTATGGTTATACTGTATAGGCCGTATAATATATCATATTATTATATAGTGCTATATTTTATTATTTATCCTTTTTATATATTGCAAATTTGGTTACATCGTATTAAATGACCATTTAAATGTATCAAATATAGTTACATTATCTTATATAAACATTTACATTTTTAATATCTCACTGTTTTATTTTATAATTAAAAGCATAGTTTACCTTTCAGATTAGACTGACCAACTCTTGGTCAGCTGACCGTCCCACGTGACAGGTCAGTTCGTTTAACTGTTATTATATTCTTTCTGACTGATCAATGAGAGTTTATTACATTTTATTGTATGAAAGTTAAAAATTATTCACAATCAGATGCCACATATGACGAAACATAAAATGATCTGGTTGGATCTTAATTCTTTAAAAACGATATACATTCAAGTCAGGGTTTTTAAATTGTAAAATCTAATGCGTTTATATATAAAATTTAGCATTCTTGCTTAATTTTTAAAATATTTTCTAAAACGTGTTAATTTTACATATGTATTTTATGAGCAATATGCCTATTTCTTAAGCATATGTTTTTAAAGTTGTTTATAATATATTGCTCTGTTAGTTTGATTGATTGGTCTCCCTTTACGTTTTCTATGTAATAAGAAATCGCAATAGTAATATGTATTTTAAGTTTTAAAAAAAAAGACATTTAGTTCTAGACACTATCTAAACTGTTTGAAACTTTAATTAATACAGAATAAAACTTTTAATTTCCAGATAAAACAGTTTGTGGTATTTATAACGTTAAAAGTTTTAATTTTTTGTTTGTTTTTGTGTTACTGTGAAACACTGCAACGCTTAAGAAGGAGTTTGTCGTATTCGGACACATGTCTTACGCAGGGGCGGAACTACAGTGCCGCCAGACCCCGCAATGCGGGGGGGGGGGGGGGCAGACCAATTGGGGGCCCAAAAATCCTGATGGTGATGATGTAACTACTGTGTTGATTCCACATGATGCTTGCCTTTATGATTTCACATGCTGTTTTGCTATCATTTTAATGTGATGATTCCACATGCTGTTTGGCTATCATTTAAATGTAAACATTCCACAAACACCATCATCGGATACTACGTTAAATATAAGTTCTGCTTTTAAAGTACCTTTTAATTTTGTTGCAAAAAACAAAATGACAACATGTGATAGCGAGAACGGCAATACATTTAACCGAATGTTTTGCTGGTCTTTAAAATATATATAAAGAACATCACCTTTTTTTTAACAATTTAACAATATTTGTTTTTCTAATTGAAACGTATACAACTAAAAAGATCTCTATGAGTGTCAATGTTCGATTGCCTCTCTTTTATTCTTATATTTAAACAATGGGGAATAATTTGTAAACGACTTCTATATGTACCTCGTATACAAAGCACATAGTAATTTTCAGCTTGAAATAAAAAGCTACAGATATAATAAAACCAGATGACAACCCAAGTGTGTCAGCTATTCTAAAATAACAATTTAACGTACGAATTTTTCGGGCCCTTGTGCAGAATTTGTAATTGGGCCCTTTCGTCAATCTGTAAATTGTGTATTTTATACGTCCTAATTGTGTATTTATATACTGTTATTATGTAGTACCCCGTAACGTAAAATACCTTTGATTTTATAATACTTTTATGACAAAACAAACTAACAAATTATCTGTAAGCCTGTAACATTTTAGTAACAAAACAAATAGCGTCACAAGGTGGGGGGGGGGGGGGGAGTGCAGGTTGACGCAGTTTAGGCGTGACACCATTAGAATAAATGTAAAATTTACTGTCAAAACTGTTTTATCTAGTTAAAATAATAAAATATTAGGGGGGGGGGGGGGTGATCATCCACCGGAAATGCAAAATTGTTGGATGGGTGGGTTGACCCTCACTAAACGCACAGGATTATACCGAACGTTGTACCGCCACTAACGAAACACACATTTTTAAAAGTTGCTCATGTTATATTTAGATTCTTTTTTTCATTTCTTTAATTTTGCAAATTAATTAATATATTTCTTGAAGTCCATTTTAGCTGCTTCTGTGTGTTCGATATTTTGGGATGGCCAAGTCGCTGACCCATATCTACAACTTGTTTCATAACATCATCATAATGGAGATACTCAGGGTGCCCAACCGTATACTACTGCCGAGGCGCTGGAGTACACCCTTCATTTTATTTAGTCATCGATTATAGTAGCCCTCTATATCCCTAGGGTATGGCGCTCATTAGAACAAGTATATGCAGCGTAGTGCTCACGGGGGAACCGGAGCGCCGGCTGATGCGCATGTGCAGTTTGAATTAAGTAGTAACCCTGACCCCTTGTACAGGACACCCAATCAACTGACCACAGGTACTAAGAAAGCAAAACAAACCGCCTTACTGCCAGGGCGCTGCCCTCCAAAATAAAAAAAAATAATTATGGCAGAAAACTGTACAGGAGTCAGAGTTTCTTTCTGGCTTTTCTTCAAAAGGGGTAGGCACTGCTCTTCATGTGTGGGGGGTGGGGTAGGAAATTTCACGGTGAATTGAGGTTTTTTCTGGAGTATTCTAAACGACTTTCTTATGTTTCATGGCGATAGGATGAGGTGTGTATCATTGTATAAAGGACAGGCAGACAGACAAGCGGCATATTGATTAAAGATAAATTATATAAACAAACAAAATATCATTAAAGTTAAAACTAGTAGAAAATCATTGACATATTTTCGACTAAGCTTGTTGTGAAAACACTGTCCACGGCTGTTAGTGCTATAAAACAAATGGCTCAATTGTAATGATTGATGGATGGAATTTCGAGGAGGACAAACAGTTGAGCGGGGAGGGGGGCGCAGATTTGTCGGGGTGGGGTAGAGAATATTTATAGGCAGACCGCACCGTGTGACACCATTTAAGGGGTAACACCAAGGCAAAAAATAGCAAAATATATAGAGAAAAAGGATAATCCCACTTATTTCAAGTGTTAAATAGTCTTTTAAGAGTTGCAAATCGAAAGTTTGAGGGGGGTGGGGTGCAAATCAAAAGTTTGAGGGTGGGAATGCAAGTCGAAAATTGAAAGTTTGTCCCCGGGAAGGGTCTCTACGCCTCTGGGGTGACAAAATTAAGTGCCGCACCGGGTGACACCCGACCTCGCCTCGCCATTGCTCTATCCAATACAGTATGACCTACAGCTTATTTAAAGATGATAATTTGTTTGTGATTTCGGCTCAGTTAGGCATACTAATACGGATGACTGACTTACACACGTTAAAATCTAGACTGTGTAAGTTGATAGACAATTCTCTAAGGTATTCACTTTGAATGAAGTAGGAGAGTGCCATTATAATGGCTCTGTAAAACAAATGTCACCATTTTCATGAATTAGATATCTAACCCAGGTTAAGAACCACTGTTCTCATGGAAACGTGAGTGTGATGTATTGATTTTAGAACATATAATACGTGATACTTTCAAACATCTAATAGAAACATGCGTGATATTTTGACTTTAGAACAAATAATAGAAACATGCGTTAAATTTTGACTTTAAAACTTCTAATTGAAATATGCGTGATATTTTTACTTTAACATATCTAATAGAACAATGTGTGATATTTTTTACTGTGAGTGGAATTGATTAGTAGTTAAGCAATAATTATTTTGTGGTTGGTAAATGTGCCTGTGCAAGATGTTTTACTTTGATCACCGTTATACTTTCATGAGTAAATATTCTGTCTAGCCTAGCTGCGCAATTGTATGTTCTTTAGTAGTGTGTTATTTTAGTGAAACAAAATATTTAGTAAATAAAATATCATTTTATCCGCAAAAGTAGCAAATCGCAATAACCCTGATTGATCCGAAGATTTACCCTAAACACAAAATGCATTTAAAATATTAATACTGCTAAATATTGTATAATACGGAGCATCATTATAATTATTCAAAAGTCCTGCAACATACATATTGATGTGTTTTCTAAAGACGCAGTGTTTCAAACATATGATATATAGAAACAGTAGCGTATTTAGTTATTTTTGCCTATCAGTGTTGTACTTTATTTTTGTTTTTGACACCTTGTAAGTTACTTCCCTTAACCTTGTTCATATAACTAAATTGGAAGCGATAAAACCAGTTGTTTTGATGGATATACATTTTACATGATTAACAATTACATGATTCAACGATGTAATCACGGCGTTTACATCTTAGCTGTGTTTTATGTGATTTTGTGGCTGCAAAACATTTATTTGATTCAAACTATAGACGACGATTTAAGGTGTCTCATTTTTGCGTTCAAATTTATTTCAATAAGAGTTATCAGTCCATATCACTCAACCCAATTCCACACAATACATTACTTATAACTCTTAATATATAGAATCGGGCGAAATAATTGTGTAGAACACGCATTCGCTAAATAAAGCGATCGTATTCGGTCTTTTTAAAAAATATTCACATATAATAGACCCTTTATGTACTTTTAGATTGCAACTTTGAATACATTCAAAATTAAAATAAAACTTCAAAATGGATCAACATAAATTTACGAAAACTCAATTTGTTTATAAATATGATCGTATAATATGGGTTTCATTCTGATGCTTCTAAAAACCACACTATATTTATGACCATTATTATTTAATCTTTGATGTTTCCCTTAGATTTTCGGAAAAAATCTAAATTGTAAGTAACTGATTAAATATATTTCATCAACTTTTGATATAACGTAGTTTATATGCTTACATCTGTTGTTATAACAAAACTTGTCGTTGTTACATGAAACGGTTGATTTTAGATACTAATGTCCGATAATAAAATAGGTGTGTTCAATTGTTAGTAGGATTATAATCTCGACTAATTTTATTGCTATAAATTAGGGTTAGGCGTATGGTAGGACTATTGTTGGGGTTAGTGTTAGGGACAGGGTTAGCATTGACATTAGCCAGCAATGTGTGCATTTAGTCAACTACCAGTAACCTAACACCCTTTTTTAAAAACGTTTTATTATCTGACACTGGTATAAATATTCCCCATAAAACTATGTTCGCATCAACTACAACATATTTCTCGGCTTTCTATAACCCGGACGACACGCTTTGTGTATATTTAATTTCAGTCTGTCAGAATATATTAGTCTTTTAACAACATTTAGGATTTGCTAATAATAGATGTAGACTGGCTGATCTTCAGTTTTCAGCAACAGTAACTTATAATTATATAAGTAGATCAAGACCCGATAGCAATGTAATAAAAGATAGTTTTTGTAAAGAAGTATATGTTTAATTAATTTAAAAAAAAACAGCAAGCTGGCAGACTTGATGGTGACGATGTAACAGATGTAACATCAACATTTACTAAATGAACCTCCAGTATATTACACGATCCTGACAACGTCTATGTGAAACGCTTGCTTTACTAGAGCAGGGGTCGGCAACCTTTTGAAGCGGAAGAGCCAAAGTTAAAATTCTCAAAATGTCCCTGGTTTTAAAGAGCCACTAACATTTTTTTTTTATTTCAAATATTTTATTTTTTTATTGAGATTATTAGTATTTGTTCAAGGAACTGGAGAGCCGCATCTTGATATCAAAAGAGCCGCATGCGGCTCGCAAGCCGCAGGTTGCCGACCCCTGTACTAGAGTACTAGATATGATTTTGTATCAGTTAATAATTTATCCCAAAAAACAAATGTTTTCTAACGTATCTTAATGTCCTAACATTCATTATATGTCATGTTTTGCATCTCTCAGAAACATGTATGCACACATATCACTGTTTTAAAGTATATAACCATATACGTTTTTAAATTTCAAAAAAGCATGCTGCTTCACGATATTCACAGTTTTAAAGATTAATCGTAGGTTTTTTATATACTTACCTTGTATTTTTCTTAAAACGTTTTAATTATTCTTATGACGAACTAGATAGTGATTATTTAAAAAAAAATATCTGTGCATGGAGCTGAAGAGCCGCATCTGGACATCAAAAGAGCCGCATCTGGACACCAAAGGAGCCGCATCTGGACACCAAAAGAGCCGCATCTGGTTCGCGAGCCGCAGGTTGCCGACCCCTGGTCTAGCCATTTTCAAATACAATGAAACATACTTTGTTTTTTAACTAGGCTTTAATAAATTTTAGCAAATTCTTCTACAAGCGTCCCATACGTGGGACGCTAACAGAATATGGGTTAACTTCCTAGGCCTTCGGTGCTGCAGCTGCTTGCGTGCCATGTTGAAATTTAGAAAAAATATATTCTTATACTCATGTAGAAAACATAATATCAGTATGGCCAAATTATGGGAACGTAGATAAATAGGAATTAATCGCTTGTCTTAGAAAAATCTATTCATTCAAGTCACTGTTTTCAAATTTTATAATAAGGAAAATTTTTAATAAATTATTTATTAAAAACTACTAATTTTTTTCTTCCAAATTTTGTGAAATAATTTTTTCTTTTAAATTCTATTAAGACATTTTTTTCAAAGAAGTATCTGTTTTTAAATTTATTAAAATTGATAGATCTATATTTTTATTTGCTTTGTCTCCCTTTATTTTTTATTTTTTTTATTTTTTAAATAAGATAAGACAAAATGTATTGGCAAATACGTATTTTAATAATTTATAACCACCTATTGTTTCAGATAGTATCTTTACTGATTTAAATGTCTAACCAATAGGATATGAAACATTTAATGCCATGGTAAAACTGTACATGATATTTATAACGTTAAAATTGCTTAATTAATTATTTAGTTGAGTTAATTAGAAACACCCAACGTTTAAGCTGGAGTTTGTCGGTCAAATGGAAAAAACTGCCTTCATGCAAAAGGTATTCGGGGAAATAGGGAATGTGTCTTAAGTACATTGAGAAGAAAATTAGCAACTTGTTTTCCCTGCTTAAAATGAAAAAAAAAATTACAGAACAAAATTAAGAGACAATTTAAACAGAACATTGGTATGATATAAAGTTGTAGTGGCCTAATATATAGTTAATCATCACACTAAACATACTTACAATATACGTCATTAAATACGTCATTAAAATATGTATAAATAGCCGTATTGGCTAGACCAGGGGTCAGCAACCTGCGGCTAGCAAGCCGCATGCGGCTCTTTTGATGTCAAGATGCGGCTCTTCAGCTCTATGCAATTATTAATAATTTTTTTTATTTTCGAAACTTAAAAATATTGTCCTGCAACATTTGATGATGAGTGATATAATAAAAAAAATATAAACAATAATCACTCGCTATTCTATTAGAATATTTATTTACTCATTATTTCATTGTACTTTCTATTGAATTGTCAAGCCTGCATTGAAACATTCAACTTTATGGTGGATATTACAAAGAAACTAAAAGAGCTAAATGTAACACTGCAAGGAAAGGAAAACACAGCCTATGACTTGCTGGTGGGTGAAACTAGCGTGTTAAACTTACAATAAAGTAGTTATCGTATCTCGCTAACTTTTTTTTTCAATAATACAATCAAGTTTTTAATGATTTGTTAGTGTTTTTTTAATAATAATGGCGATTAAACAAGTTTGCGCCCCTTATAAACAGTGCCTTAGTCAAGGGCCTAGTTCGCCGTAATGCTAACGACGTTCCCTTTGAAGCTGTATTTTATTTATCGCTTCAAAATTTTATCAACTACACAACCATGGATACAATAATTTTAATTCAATATAATGTTTATTCGTGAATTTCGCTAAAGGGTGGTATGAGCCTATCAACATTGTGGGCGAATACTCAGTCTACTATCCTACCAGCCCTGATACATTGAAACCATCAAGTCGGTCACAATACCTTCCAGAGATTGCTTCAATTAATTCATATGATATGTTATATGTGGGGAAACTTAGCTGTCAGTATCAATTTTTGGGGAGGAGGGAGGGGGTTCATGTACATGTTTGCAAAACATTTTAATATTATAACTAGTTATTTTACAACTAAAACACGTGTTTAATTTACATTCAAATTATAATCTAAACCATGTTTAAGCTAAAACATTCATGTGTCAATGTATACACGTCCATTTTATTTTACGAACTAAACAGGGTTATATTTTTGTATGTGAAAGTAAACTAGTCATGTCCTAGGTTTATGTCATTCAATTTTATTTTAGGACCTAAAAGGTAGTATCATATCTACTTAGACAGTATAATATATGGGTTAAAATGTATGTCTCTTATAAAATAACACATAAAGATATATTTATTTTCTTCTTGCTTAAACATCTGAAATGGTATCAATTAACATTTGCTGTGTTCATGTACATTTTTTGTTACGATAAATGGGGATAAAATCATTACTTGTTAGCACCAGACGGAGGTTAGTCTATTTTAT